GAGAGAGAGAGAGAGAGAGAGAGAGAGAGAGAGAGAGAGAGAGAGAGAGAGAGAGAAGGGGTAAAGAAAGGGGAATCTCTAATCGCGGAGTGTACTACCGAAGTCATAAATCAGAATCGATGAAGTACGACCTTTTCGTTTGACGAAAGAGCCGCGGCTGGAAGTGTTCGCTACTGTTCCAATAAATAATCCCCAGACATTTTCACGAGAAAGTCCAGGATGGGTAATCCTGATTAATATCTTCGCGAGTTCTTTGGTTCCCCCTTGTCCCGCGCTAAAATTGACAGAGTTGACTCTAACCGACCACTGTGTTATTTATGGCCGCGGTATCATCGCGGTGCATTCGCGTGAAATTTCATACGCGTTCGAAATTTCATTCCCCTTGTGCAATTATCGCGATATATTACCGTTTGTTATATTTACAGTAAACGTTCCGCCGCACACTGACGATGTACTTCTCAAATCACGTTTTTCTGACACTCAATCTTTCAATTGAGTCCGAATCTTCCCTCATGCAATCATCAGCGAAGGCAGACAAGACATTGCCCGATGCGGAAAGGCGACCCGCGGTGAAGCAAGTCGCCAACGTGCGCATCGAGTGCGCTGCATACATAGCAGTCGACTTAGAAACGCACCGAGCAGACGGTTTACTCGAACAGCTGGAGTAATCATGTGCGATGACGCGGTTCGATTGAATACGGTATGCCCGCGCACCGAGAAATCCGCTCGACCGCTAGATGAGGAAAGGGTTGGCAGGTAACTGGCCGAGGCGAGATAGTGCAAAGTTTGCCCAATGCAGGAGAATGTAAATATTCGATCCGGTTCTATATGCAAGAATATATCTCTATATTATCCTACATAAACAATTTACTACATAAAATATCTCTATAATAATACTATATATTATATAAATTAAAAATATTTAATTATGCTATATAAAATATATATATATATATATATATATATATATATATAGTTATATTAAATATAGTTATATATACTATATAAAATATAATTTCGAGATTATTTAGAAAATATATCTCTATATATTATCCTACATAAACAATTTACTACATAAAATATCTCTATAATAATACTATATATTATATAAATTAAAAATATTT